TCACTGAATAATCTCTCCATCAGGTAAAAATTAAGAACCAGGTATATAGCTCAGTGGTAGAGCACTTTCCTAGCATGTACAAGGTCCTACTTTCAAATCACAGAATAGTGAAAAGTACAAAATAAACACTTCACAATTCTGTTGATATGAAACAGATGTTTAGATAGAAACCAAATCCATTGCTACCTCATTGCACAGTGAGGTTTTGTTATGTTTTTGAAACAGGGTCTTCTTAATGCAGCTTAGTCTAGCCTTGAACTCAAGACCTTCCTTCCTCGGTTTCCTGAGTGCTGGAATAATGTTACACTCTGCACTGCTGGGTCCTCCAGACCCGATTGGGATGATGAGAGAATGAAGGTAGGACAGACACACAGACACATGTATAGAAAAGCTGGGATCCAGTAGGTTGAGCTTGCTCTAGTGGAGGACCACAACAGAAACCCAAAGAGTAAGTGCTCTGGGTCAGGAGGGAGGTCTGTGCATACAGCTGAATAAGGAGGCAGACTTAGCTTATCTTGGTAGAAAGGCTCTGTCGGGAGCAGTCCCAGGCTGCAGCCATCCTGGGGGAGGAACCTGTGGTTGATAGTTTCTACATACACAGCATTCGAACTTGGACCGGAGAAAGCCTTCGCCATCCCTCAGAGGCTCATCTCGAAGGCTTTGCTACTCCCGTGGGTCTGAGGCGCTGGGGTCCTTGACATGGTGTGCTCATGTCGACAACATTAACTCAGGGCTTCATCTGCCCCTTGCACATTCACTCAGGGCTTCATCTGCCCCTTGCACATTCACTCAGGGCTCCCTCTGATCCCCACGGCATCACAAGTGTGTCTCACTGGGTCTGGTACCTGAAGGGATTTTTGATCCTCTTCCCTAAGAGTTAGGACTCTCATCTACACAGAGGCACTTAAAAAATGTTTATTAGGAAAATATCTGTTATGTACCTCAAGGGAAAAATCAAAGAATAAGACACGGGGTCTGACCTCAAGATGCTGCATGTTCTGTGAGCAAGACAGATACATCAAAGGCTGTGGATGCACAGAGAGTGTGATAGAAGGTGTTAACTAAGGAAGCTCAGAGGACGGTCTTCCAAGAGGCATATAAGTTAGATCCAAACGGGGGAAGCTCAGCTAGCTAGATAAGGAGGAAGAGGAGGAACAAAAAACTGAGAAATAGCCGGGGGGTGGGAGGGTGGGGTGGTGGTGGCACACTCCTTTAATCCCAGCACTCAGAAGGCAGAGCCAGGAGGATCTCTGTGAGTTGGAGGCCAGCATGGTCTACAGAGGGAGATCCAGGACAGGCACCAAAACTACATGGAGAAACCCTGTCTCAAACAACAACAACAACAACAAAAAACCAAAACCAAAACAAACAAACAAACAAACAAAAAACAACCCCCCCCCAAACAAAACAAAACAAAACAAAAAACCCAAAAAAACTGAGTAATCCAGGGAGAGGAAACCGACCACTCAGGGATCAGACTATCTGGCAGGAAAGTTGCCTGTACATTAAGGAAAAAACAAATATTAGTCAGAATATACTAGTTTTCTCTCTTCTTGCTACATGGAGAATAGATTGAAAAAAGTGAGGTCAGAGGCTTCTGACTTCTAAGAAATGTTTGAACTGGGCATGGAAACAAAGGAGAAATTAGAGAGACAAGCTCTCCACGGGACTTAACAACTAGTTAGATGCACTGGTGAGGCAAGTGGATTTTTGGATGGGAGACTGGGTGGATGGACGTGCTGGGTAATACAAGGAAGAAGAGGCAGCCTGGAGGAGGCACCGGCACAAAGAAAATAAGAAAACTTTAGTCTTGGGTGTATCACACCTCTGTGTGATCAAGAATAAACCACTTCACTGGGAAAATCAAGAGAGGTGTTTCCAAGACAGGAATAGTGGAACAACCCTATAATTCCAGGACTTGAAAGGCTGAGTTAAGAGAATTCTGTGAGTTTAAGGAGAGCCTGGGCTACAGAGCAACCGTGTCTCAAACATTAACAACAAAAACCACAGAAAAGAAAAAAGGTTTTTTTTATAAGATGTGATATGACTCATATATATGAAAGTGATATATGTAACAGAAATTGCTGCTGTGATAAGAGTCACCAATCTCAAATGAAGAAAACTTACAAACACTCATTACATTTTCTTGTCAATGAATTGTAGGTTTCTTAAGGAGGAGGGCTACATCTTGCTGAATCTTTTCTTCTTACCTCTAACATGTGCCTAGCACCTGACAGGTTTCCAGTAAACGCTGAGTCAGCAAATGAGGGCACACTAAATTCCATATTACATTACACCCACCCATTTAAAGTGTATACCTCAAAGACCGGAGAGATGGCTCAGCAGTTACAGTTGTGTACTGCTCTTGAAGAAGGCCTGACTGAATTCAGTTCTCAGCACTCACATCGGGTAGCTAACAACTGGCTGTACCTCTAGTTCCCAGAGCTCTCGTGCCCTCTTCTGGTGTCCACTGGTACTTCAACCCACTTGCCCCTATTCCCGGCTCCAAATAAAGTCTAGAAGGAGGAGGAGGAAGAAGAAGATGAAGAGGAAGAGGATGAAGAAGGAGAAAAGGAGAGGAGAGAGAAGAAGAGGAAGAGGAGGGAGAAGAAGAGGAAGAGGAGGGAGAAGAAGAGGAACAGGAAGGAGAAGAAGAGGAAGGAGAAGAAGAGGAAGAGGAGAGAGAAGAGCAAGAGGAGGGAGAAGAAGAGGAAGAAGTAGTGTGAATTCTAATTGGTATTAATAATAAAAACCCAGAGCCAGATATTGGAGTAAATGCTGAAAGCAAAGAGACAAAGGAGCAAGCCACAGCCACGTCTTATCTCTAGGAATCCTCAGACTGAAAGGGGGAGCTCTTGTCTCCACCCCACCTCATCACTTCCTCTCTCTGCCCAGCCAAATCACTTCCTGTTCCTCCTCCCAAGTGCTGGGATTAAAGGTATGTGCCACCACTGCTTGGCCTCTAGCGGATAGCTCCTCACTCTGATCTCCAGGCAAACTTTACTTGTTAGAGCACAAACAAAATATCACCATGAGGAAGAGGAGGAGGAGGAGGAGGAAAGTAATACTTGTAATCCCAACATTCAGGAGGCTGAGGTAGGAGGGTCATCTGACCTGAACTTGTGTATCAAATACTTAGACCCGCTAGGGAGAGAGAGAGAGAGAGAGAGAGAGAGAGAGAGAGAGAGAGAGAGAGAGAGAGAGAGATCCTGTCTCAAAAACACACAGCACACCAAACCCCAAACAAATCAAAATAATCTCTTATCTTCTAGGAGCCTATTTTGGTCTCTAGGTAAATTTTATGTCTATCTTCATATTCCTACAAAATACTGAACTTGAAAATCTATTTGCATTGTAAAGGGGATTGAAGCAAGAGCCAGTTTTGAAACCATAGTCCCACTTCTTACCACCTGATAACTTTGGAAATTTCATATTTATTGGCCTTAGAGTTGCAAAAATTAAATGACGTGAAATTGGGAGCATGTTTGTGTTATGGCAGAGGAAAGTTAAAAACCAGTATGTCAATTTGGCCCTGCTGGGATTATATTTATACACAAAGTCATAGGACATTTTCTTGTTTTTTTTGTTTTTTGTTTTTTCTTTTTAGATAGGGTCTCATGTAGACCAGGCTGTCCTTGAACTTGGTAGGTGTACCCGAGTGGAACTTTGATCCCCTGATCCTCTTGCGTCCACCACCACAATCTCTGAGTGCTGGATTACAGGCTGTTGTACAGGACATGACCCAAAGCAGTGCCATTTTCAGGATTCCACCTGGGCCTGCTTACCAGAGATAATCACAGCTGGGCTTGCTGACTGTGACCTTTCCTCTTGGAAGGAAAGAGGGGGTGAGGGGGATCATGGAACGCTCACTCTGAGGATTGAGCCACTCAGTCCAACCAGTGGTATGCAATTCTGCCTTAATTGCAGGTGGCCTTGGGGGTGGAGGACTATCTCTGGGTGGGGCTAGAGCGCACAGGCGGAGGGTGAAGGGTGGAGGCTCTGTTTACACACTGAGGGTTGGGTGAGTGATCCCCATATTGGGTGCTGAGCTTCCAGGGAAGCCGCTTTTAAGTCATCCATGGTTCCGCCTCACCCATTGCTCTATAAATAAGCCTAATGAACTTATTGGTTCCTCAGAATGTACTTTGGTGGTAGTTGGGACTGTAGGAGGGTGTAGATGTATTTATATTTCCCCTAGGGAAGGAATTTTAGCAACACAGGCATATATCATAGAGATAGGTGCTTGTACTTTGTTGAAGCAGTTGAGGGACCCTTTCTTCCCTGCCCCCCCCCCCCCCCCGAAGGCGTTGGGTTACTACCTGTATATTGGATTTGCTCACACAAGCAGTTTCTTTTGTATTATCTGTACATCTTCCTGGCCATTGGTAGTTCCATAGTGACCTGTCAATAACCATCAAGAGCCTCAGACAGTGCCTAGGTGCACTTCCCGTTCAAGAGATGTAAAGCAGCAGGCACTTAAAGTTTTTCTCTCATTTCTAGCTCCTTTCTTTACAGTGTCTTGGCATTTTCTGTATGGTCGCCCAGTGCTAAACCCCCTGTTTTCAAAGTTTAGAAAAGAGCTTTGCTTCTGTACTAGTGTGGATTGAAATTCGAGGTCTACAGACCACCTTTATTCTACATTGGTAAAACGGGGGAAAACACCTATTTTGGTATTTATGGAGGTGGCTCACCTCTGTAATCCCAGATTGAGTCAGGGGGATACATATAGTGTGAGGTCCTATCTCAAAAATAAAAACCCAGTCCATTTTGCAAAGTTGTTCGAAAATCATCAGGATTACAGTGTTTAACCTTGGTTCTCAAAGGTACCGTGTCTTTGGTAGAAAAGGGAGTTACCCTCTGGACACCTTTGACCTTCAGGAGTCCTGGCCCTTTAAGACCGAGCCGCCCCAACCTCCAGCGCGCGTCTCCCCGCCCCGCCCCTCGGATTTGGGGGCGGGACCTCCGAACCCGGAACTGACGGCTACGCGTCGCCGGTGCGGCCAATCGGCGTCCCGGAAGCCGCGAGTTGCGGCGTCTGAGCCAGTGAATGACAGCAGCGCCGCCCGCCGGTCACCGCCGTGGCCCCGCCGGTGCCCCGAGCCGCCTGTCAGCGCGCCCCTGGGGAAGGCGAGCGGCGCGCCTGCCGCCCGAGGGCCTCCCCGCTCTCCCCGGCCCCTACCCCGCTGTCCCTCCGCTGCCGGCGCCATGGGCAGCGAGCAGAGCGCGGAGGCCGAGAGCCGCCCCGGCGATCTGAACGCCTCAGGTCGGTGCCTCACCTCCCGCCCGGGCGCTGCTGGCGGAGCCGGCGGCCCCACCGTAGGCCGGACCACCGAGAAGGCGTGGCCTCCCCCCAGCCCCGGTCCCCTAAACCGGCACGCTCGGCTTCGCCCTGATCTTTAAAAGACGACCTCGGGAACACTCGGTTCCAGGACTCGGCACTGACGCCCGAGATTTGGCTCACTGTGGATGGATCCTACCCAGAACCTCTAAGATCAGGCTTCCTGAAAAATACGGGGTGTCGAGGTTCCCTTTTAGGAGGGACCTGTGAGCGCTGGGCGGTCGCCTTCAGTGTTTGGGTGCAAATGTTTCCAGAAACTGCTTTTTCCACTCAGGTGTCGGGGGTCTGAGGTTTTTGTTTTGTTGTTTGTTTTTAATAAGTTGGTCAGATGGCAGGCAGGGTCTTGGCGTATTTTCTGTGGTCCACATTTTTTTTTTTTTAGCTTTCTCCAAGCGTTTGAGGTAGAAATTGGAAGAGTATTGTGCTAGACCTGTAGTGAGTGCTCAATAAAGCAGTGGTAATTGAAAACCATTTGGTCTTTTTTTTTTTTTTTTCCTTTGTTACTCACTTAGTTAACCTCTGAAACTGCACTAGACTGGGTAAGCTCAGGGCCTCGTTAGTCAAGACCCCTGACCTAAAAAGAATCTTCAGAATGGCTCTCTACTTGGTAACATTTGCCACTCAGAAATGTGGAAGCTAACAGATGTAGGGGATGGTTCATGCTGAAGGGCATTCCTCAAGACCAGTCCCTCAAGACCCGCTGTCTGGGAACTTGCATCTACTAGCTTTGCTGTGTTTCCTTGGAAGACCCAGAGTGTCGTGTCTGTTGATAACGAAATCGCTGTGATGGCCACCTCTGACTTTCTTGCCTCTATGCCCCGCCAAAAGCATAGTTCAGGGGACAGAGCTTGGCGTCCTTTAACACAGTTGCTCATTCAGGAACCAACTGCATAGGCTTATTTCTGATAGAATTTGCTTTACACATGTTTATGTGTAGTATTTATAGTAGCCCCATTTTTACACACATCTTTATCCATTTTATGCATAAAATAATAGAGGTGGACTAGAATGCTTTGAAGTCCCCTTTCCTTTGGAGTCTGGGGAAAGGAGGAATCATGTAATTTATAACAGGAAAGATGTTTTGGTACTGCTTTTGTAAAAATGTTAGATGGATTACCAAGCCAGGATAAACTGTTCCTGAAAAGCAATAAAAGTGGCAGAACACCCCTCCCAGCCACCCTTCCCAGGATAAACTCCAAGCATCAGGAGAGGCTAGTTTCCAGAAGGCGGAGTACTTCCGTGGTATCCTCAGATCTGACTGATGAGCCTGAGTATACCTATTGCCTACTAGAACCTTTGAGTATAAGACACTTTAAGGATTCATTCTTGTTCCAACCAGGAAAATATTTGGGTGAGAAGTCTTGTTCTAGGGAATCCTTGGAGGATTGAACCTCTTCCCTCCCAAGGAACCTGAAATCGACATGCCCCAGAAGTTCCTTCCAATTTTCTGAATGTTGCCCCAGTAATGCTGCACTAAGGCTCACTGGAGCCTTGGGAATAGACTTATAATTTGGGTTTGAAACCAGAGGCTTTGGCCAAACTGGCTCGGTTCAGCACACTTGGCTGGCTTTGCATTCTATGTCACTAAGAAGGGTCCTTGTCCCCAAGGACCCAGAGACTTCAGTGCCTTTCCTAACTCGGTTTCTAGGGCTGTTGGCCTTGGACAAGTCCCAGAAAATTTTGTTCCTTCATTTGTAAACTATGGACATATATCAGGAGATCAGGACAATCAAAAAAAGGAGATGTTAAAAAAAATCTACATATAGGAAATATTTTAAAAATCTGCCCATGCTTTTGTGTGTAAAATAATAAAATACTTGGTTATGCAAGAATTTCACACATGTTATATGTTTCTATATGTTTGAGAGTTTTGGTTTTTTTAATGTATATATAGTAGAAAATAGAAGTCCTGGGCTAGGGCCTTAGCTTAGTGGTAGGGCACTTGCATAGTATTCGAGAAGCTCTGGTTACATTCCTTAGCACCACAAAAAAGAAAGAAAATAGAAATTCCCATAGTCTACCTATGCCAGCCCCCACTACGTAAAAATATTCATTTTTTTTCTTCCTTGGAGACAGTGTTTCATGTACTCTAGGCTGATCTATGCTCCCAACGCTGTAAATTATTTTATTATGTGTGCAGGTGTTTTGCCTGCATTCATGTCTGTGCATCACATGTATATAGTGTCTGAGGAAGCCATAAGAGGGCACAAGATCCACTAGAACTAGAGTTACAAATGGTTTCGCACCAACATGTGAGTCCTGGGACTTGAACCAGGGTCTTCTGGAAGAGCAGCCCTTAACCACTGAGCCATATCTTCAGCCCCTGTTCTTGAGTTTTTATCTTCCTGTCTCTACCTGGAGGAAGGAGATGTGAGCCACTATGTCCAGCTGAATAACATTCCCTCATAGTATTTTGTTGTTTAGTTTTATTTATTTATGTATTTATTTATTTATTTTGAGACAGGGTATTACTATGTAACTCTGGCTATCCTGGGATTCCAGGCTGGCCATAAACTCACAAGAGATCCACCTGCCTCTGCCTCCGGAGTGCTGGGATTAAAGGTGTGCATCACCACACTAGCATTTACTTTTAGGTTTTTGTTGTTGTTGTTGTTGGTTTGTTTTTTTTTTTTTTTTT